GTATACAAATATTTAGTCATATTATATTTTAATAAAAGATATCAAACTAGGCATTGTTTTAGTTGCACCTAACTTACATATTTTATATTTATAATAATTTTTCTAGGCTCTTTCACTCTGGGTTCATTTACTAAATGATTGGAATAGAGCTGTAACTCATTGTATTAATGTTTATCAAAAAGGTGAACATCATTTGAATAATGTTGAACATGTAGAGATGGATATTGTTCATGCAGATTGTGTTGGAGCCTGCGACGCTAGTAGTGATGGTAGTGGTAGTGCTATGATCGATAAGAAATCTTCTTTATCATATGCACAAATTATGCGAAATTCTCCTTCATTGCCCAATTCACCATTCATAGATAACAATATTAATGTTAGTAGTAGAAATCATAATGAAACACTGACCAATAATGATTGTGATATATTTTTTCTACTTATACAAATTTGTTTACATCCTACCGAACCTACTTCTTTGGGCATCGTTCTACCTTGTAAGTTTGTTGTTTTGCTCTTGATTTAATCGAACTGTTTGTTTTGTCCTATTAAAAAACAGTTAATAGATTACCGGTGACTGATAAAATCCTGCCATTTCTATTCTCCTATATATTTACCTATTGGTTGTTGGTATAGACACTAACTACTGTGTTTGAGTCCGCGTGGTTATCATAACTAATGAGTAGCGTCTTTGGATCGTATGGCTCAGAATCGTTCGTAGTGGCACAGACACATTGATGATTTGATTTCCACTCGATTCTAAGCTTGAAAATGATCTTACATATTTATTCCGTTGCTCAATTTATTCTTTTAAGTGATATTACTATTTGGTTTTCATTTGATAATTCCATCTCTCTGTGATTATGTGGTGTGACACTTCAAACTGATTTATATATTTCAGGTTGTTTATTTTATTTATTTATTGGTACAAGGAGGCACCAAATACATATACGCCACACATCTCATTTGATTTGTGTGAGGGCTGTGATACTGCCTGGGTGCCCAAACCGAAGCAGGTGGTTTTCTTAGGGGGCCACAACCCGAGCCTTCGACCTGAAGATCTGGTCCACAAGGCAGTGGAGCATCGTAAGGAAATGCAATCCCAAGGTAGCCGGTGATCAACCATTGGTTCACACGCCATTTGTCCCTTCAGGATACTGGAGCTCATGTGCACCATTGGTTTGGGGTCCGGTTAAAGCGCCGGACATTCGCTTTTCGTCTTCTCAATTTCGTAAACAACACCTGTGCCACGAGAAGGCAGTGAGTAGGACGTCCCTGACAGTGGCTATATACGCGTGGCCATGTGAGAGCATTTCGAGAGGGAGAGCGGACTCTCCCCACTCTCGGCCGTACCAGGGCGTTTTGGGGCTCAGTGGTCTAATGGTCGAGCGCTCGCGCGTGAGTGTGATAGGATCTGGGTTCGAATCTCATGAGGGGCTGGATCGTGGATGTGCACCGCTGTGATTTCAGGTTGTACGTTGCTTTAGACTGACCAAATGGTTGTTATTTAAAATAAAATACTTATGGATTTTGATTTAACATTGATCAGTTCACGATCTCATTTAAAACTCAACAATCTTCACAACCATATATTGATAAGATACTTAAGCGATAAACACTCGATAATAGTGCTGTTATTATTATTATTAATGGCTTATCTAACTTGTAGTGTGTATTTATCATTTCCGGTTTAATTATTGGTTTAAAATGGTGTATTTCACATTTAGTATCTTAAATAATTATTTATATGTATTTTGTTAGCATCTCCCAACAAATCTACACCATTTACTCCGAAACCAAAGAAAGCACTTGAAATCCTTCACCAATATAGTACACTTATAGATCCTATCAAAGTGATACGAATCATACCTACCGTTGCTTTGAGTTCTGTTGGGAACTACTTAAAGGTATGCAGAATTATCAGTAATTTTATACATTATACTTAGCTAGTAATTCTATTTCAGGTTTCATGTTGGTAAATCTTAAATTACCTTACACTGTAAGCTTGTTTATATAGGGCAAAAAAACAATTGCTTTTAGAATCTGTTGCTTTTACTATTAACATCGTTCAAACAGCTACCGAGATATATAAAGAACTCGGTGATTTCCAACATTTTAATGATTGATACATAGGTAGGCTTCTACTGGGTAGCTAAATTTGTATTACACTTCGATCATGCACAATATATACTGCATTAACAATGCATACCGTCTGTCAGTACCAGGAAAAGTCTTTAGCAAGTGTTGTTGAACCGGATGAAAGAAGCAGTAGACGCTCAACTTCGAGATCAACAAGCTGGATTCCGTAAGGACCGGTCGTGCACAGACTGAAATGTAACAATACGGACCATCGTCGAAAAATCAGTTTGGTGGAACTCGTCACTGTACATCAACTTCATTTATTATGAGAAGGCATTTCACAGTGTAGATAGGAGAACGTTATGGAAGCTTCTTCGACACTACGGAGTTCCTGAGAAGATTGTTAATATTATCCGGAACTCATACGACGGACCACAGTGAAAGGTCGTGCATGGAGGACAGCTGACAGATGCATTCCAAGTAAAGACCGGAGTCAGACAAGACTGTACACTCTCCCCCTTCCTCTTTCTTCTGATGGTCGACTGATTTATGAAGACCTCGACATCTAAGGGAAAACACGGCATACAATGGAGAGCTCAGAACCAATTAGACGATTTGGACTTCGCAGATGGCTTAACCCTCCTATCGCATACACACGAACAAATGCAGATAAAGACAGCCAGCGTAGCAGCAGTCTCTGCATCAGTAGGCCTCAACATACACAAGGGGAAAACTAAGGTCCTCAAACACAACACGGAGAACAGCAGTTCAATCACTCTTGATGGCGAAACTCTAGAAGATGTGGAATTCTTCACATACCTGGGAAGCATCGTCGATAAACAAGGAGGTTCAGATGCAGACGTCAAGGCGAGGATTGGCAAAGCAAGGACAGCATTCCTTCAATTGACGAACATATGGAACTCAAAACAACTTCAAACCATTATCAAAATCAGAATCTTCAATACGAACGTCAAGGCAGTTCTACTGTACGGAGCTGAAACTTGGAGAACTACAACAACCACCATCAAGAAGATGCAAGTATTTGTCAATAGCTGTCTACGCAAGATACTCAACATCCATTGGCCGGATACCATCAGCTGCAGCCTTTTGTGGGAGAGAACCAACCAGCTTCCAGCTGAAGAGGAAATTATGAAAAGACGATGGAAATGGATAGGACATACAATACGCAAATCATCAAACTGCACCACGAGATAAGTGCTAACTTGGAATCCTGAAGGAAAGCGGAAAAGAGGAAGGCCAAAGAACACATCACATCGGGAAATAGAAGCAGATATGAAAAAGATGAACAAGAACTGGAAAGAGCTCGAAAGGATTGCCCAGGACAAGGTTGGATGGAGAATGCTGGTGAGCGGCCTATGCTCCTTCGCGAGAAGTAACAGGCGTAAGTAAGTATCGTCTGATAAACAGCTGCAAAGTTCAGTCCTGTCGAATGATTAGCTGCAGGTTTAGTTCAAAGAAATGCAGCATTTTTTGACTTACAAGACCTAGTTTTTAGCCGAAAAGAAACTCATTACTCAAACTATAGAGATAGAAAAAATCCCTAACCCACCCATATCATTATCGGTGCTCAAAATATATGAGTTTTTATTATACTGTTTTTCGATATCTGTACTGTTGTTCTGACTTATAAAATTTCTAAACTAAGCGTTTACTTTTTGTTACTGTTCTTTTCTATGATACATCTAGAACATCTTTATTTCTCAAGAGAGTACATTGAATCAATTAGTTTTTCTTAAAAATGCTGCAAAATCTGAATTAATCGCATCATGTACAGATCGTATAAAAGTTACAAATAATCGTTTTTCAATTTTATCATCTACACGTTGTCGAATATGTCGTCGACGTATTGGTAATAGTGCTTTTGTTAAACAACCAACAAGTGATGAATTAGAGCACTATGGTTGTTGTCAAGATTTGATAAAAAAAAGATAATTTTTTGTTTGTTATTTTCTTTTCTACTTATTCATTTCATGCTACAATTATAATAATTACAATAATACATCATAGTATATTGATATCTGTTTATTTACAATACACTTTGATTTACAATATTTTTTAAATACATTGCTGATTTCTTCTAATCAGGGTAGTTTTCTTTTGTTAATAAGTATAAAAACATGCTGGGTTACAGTTGCCTTGGTAGTATCATCACTCTTCGAGCCTTAGTTCACACAAATCAATAACATCCATAGATAGACTTCCTGTACATAACTTGAAAATCAGAACCAAACCATACTCTAATGTAAAACAAATCTTTTAATATATATTAAACACTTCACACAATTTATAAATTCGTCGAATGATTTTTGTTTTGTAATTGTAGATTTACAATTCTTAATATACTCGACTAATACTCCATTTCATGGAAGCGTACATTATAGCTAAGTTGCCGTTTGTCCACTTGTTTTGTTTACGAAAATGGGTGGGAATAGCATTGAATTCTCATATCTAGGAAACTTTGTATTTATCAACTAAAGTTATAGTGCAATATCCGTTTAATTAACGACCACTTTCCATCAAGTACCAACGCTTAATTCAGAAACCAATGACCCATTGCTCCGCTTTTACAAATCTTTTAATTGGATTCAGATCGAACCCATAACACAATAATTAGATGGTAATTACTATGTTCACTAATCTACAAGTACATACGAAATCATTAATAAAGTTTTGATTATGAGTAATCTCATGTTTCGTAATTGCAGTATATGATCTGCTATGAATTTGAACAAACCTGTCGAGTTAGTCGTTGAGTGTTTATATCTACTAACCAGATGTTCTGTCCATTGAATAATTATGTGAAATTGGTATGGTGGTTGATGGTTCAGGATACAGACCAGTCTTTATTTAAGGGTGAAGATCCCCATAATTTTAAACAGGTTGTAGAAAACCGATATATTACAACCATAGTATGACATTCCACACACTTCAGAACTGTCTAAATTTTTTATTCATAAAGACTGATAAAACGATTTCGCGATACCGTACTATCTATTTTCATAGTGCTCACAAGTCTATAAAATACTGGAAGTGTATGAAAAGAAGAAATCAGTTAAATTATACCGTTTCAGGTTGAAAGAAAATATTCAAATAATTACGGTTTCATCATTCACATAAGTTACGTAAGAAAAAGATGTTGAGTCTTTCTTAATAGAACTGTTTCTTGAGTAGTATAGTTTTATTTTTGTCCACAACTTTTCTATGACTTGATACTTAATCATAACGAAAATGATCAGTAGCATTATACATGTGGTGAATAGGCCGATCATGATACCGACTGGTATTTCTTGAGGCTTTTCCTTTAGAGATGTTGATAAAAATCTTATTTTTTTTTCACATCTATCTCCTGCCCATTGTCTTGGACATCTGCATCTTAGACATTTAGTCTCAGTTAAAGGATCTTGTTCTGAACATAAAGTACATTCTCCATTATTAAAACAATATGTACTACACAATTTATTGTCCATCTGTATCCCGTTTGTATGTACAAATTCTCACTGGAATACAAGAAACAACAAGCTAGTTATTAGATAATTGCAAGATAAGTATTGTTCAGTTCAAGATGGTACATACTATCTTCATTTCGTCTAGTAGATTATATGCGCTATATCATCCAAGTAATCTAAACAGTGAAATATGTTTGGATATTTAACAGACAGACGACCTCATTAACAAGTTATTACAGTATACCTCATATCATTCAAGTGCCATGTCTCGAAGATATTATGATGAGTTTTCTCCCGACAGACAAGATAAGTATGAGTTTACTGTATCTTAGGGGTCGTTTTAATTATGATTTAGTCTGATCATTGCCTTAATCGAAACGGCGACTAAACTCCAGTTACTTTAGTAGCTATTGTTAGCTCATACTCTTGCTAGTTGCGGTCACACTCGACTTGGTATCTTATATCTTGTTTTCATATTGATGATAAACGAGGATTATTTTTACGTATTTACGTCCATAACTTTCGAAGTATATACGTCTTAATTATTAGGAATTTGCATTTTTCTAGTCAGTGAAAAACAAGACAGAACTATTTTCACTGACATCTCACTATTTGACGAAAAGAGCTTAGTCAAATTAGTAGTGAATTAAAATTCAAAAAACTCAGATTTTATTTAGTAACTCTTTCAAAGTTATTCTGTATGGTTTATTCTGCGATGCGGTATGGCAACTTGGACCGATGCATATATGTGCCTGGTCCTACGTTGCAGGTGACTGACTGATTCTGCGATGTCGATTAAATGAATTAATATAGGCAACAGATATGTGTGATTTTCTAAAATTTAATAAGTGTACAAAGTCTGAAAACAATCTGCTAACGTGATGAAATTATTTCTTTTCAAATTCATATTCACGTTAGTTTGAGGGAGGAGGGTGTTAGAGCCTAGTTTCTTATTTCTATTCGAACAATTTGAATCTCATGAAGTGTGACGCTTTCCCATTACGATTCGCTTATGATTTTTATGTCCATCTGATCGATTCCATTATTGCTCAAATCAGTCTTATAGTCTGACATTTTAGCCTATAGATCTGCGGTATATTGTCCTTCATGTTGCATTGAGTGCTTTGATGTTTGGACAAAAGCTCTAAGATGTTGTTTTGTTTTGATCATGATATTATCAGAAGTTTGTCCAATTCATACTAAGTCGCAGTCTGAACATTTTATTTTATAGGCAAAGTTAATATGTAAGTTCTGTATTTTATCTTTTATATGAACTAGGTTTTTTTGTGTTTCTGATATCCTAAATACAGTACTGTTACACCTGTTGTGCATTCTTTTGATCTCATCTGATGTATGTGATCTTTATAGAATTTTAGTGATTTTTCGATCGTGTTTAATATTTTCCTTTGTTTTCTGGGCAAAAGTTTTCGGGTAGTTACTTATCTTAAGAATTTGAGTTCCTCTTTTATTCTTCACCATTTATTACCATAGTGTGTACCCCACTCAAAAAGCTAGAGGTAAGTGATACTATGAACTGATGATGGTAAGCAAAACGCCAGTAAAAACAGTTTTGTCTCTTACTCATTTGAAGTTTGAAATAATAATAAATATCATTTATGTAATGACCAAACTTTTCGAATCATCAAATATGAACTTGTTTTGAACATTTATATGTATATATAACGTAAGAAGGCAAAGTATCTTGATCTGTAATAGTCTGGTTTTTCCTTTACCTGTAGTGTGATGCAGTTCTGACCGTTGTTGCTACCTTGACGTGGTGGTCGGGCTTGCCTATCGTGATGAAGCAACTGAGCTATAATGGCTGGAACAACCGTTCCTCAAGGTCCTACCATGCCAGACAGGTCGGTTGAAGAGCGGTAAGACTAAAAGCAACAAAACCAAGGTCCGAAGGCGAAGTCGTACTGCTGACTGTACAGAGGTGTGACAGCAGTAAGGCGTTTCCTTCAGACAACCAGCATGACAGCGATGCTGCCTTCCCACAAGGAGGGGTGGGGTTAGAAAAGGTCGACCCTGAAAATGTCACACCTCGCCTTATCCCACGGATATCCGTCTCCGGCGGTAAGGACTCAACAAGTACGGAGCTAACACAAAAATCACTCATAAAAAGGTCGTGTGTGACCGACCTCAAGCAGCTGTCCCTTGGGCACTGCGGTCACGCTCTCAGGTCACTATGACCAACTCTAATCCAATTTCCTTTTTAGGTACCTCCAGAAGAACCCTTCCACGGTGTGGGCAACCGGGAAGTGATAACCGCCCTCATACCTCTAACAGCACTCAAGACCACTGTATTCATAATCAACCTACCTCTTCAATTCCTATTATTCCTCTTACATCGACTTTCAAATCTAAACTCCCTCTTTCGACTTCCTCCTCAAGTGTCACCACAGCCAACGATTCTAGTGCGCAAAACACTGTCCCAGGTCTACTGAAACCTCGCTCCAAACTACACATTGGAGCCTTCAACGTACGCACACTATGCCAAATCGGTCAGCAGGCTTCCTTGGCTAAAACCTTAGAATCTCGTACGATTGATGTATGCTGTGTCTCCGAAACACGCATACAGGATCCTATTGTGGTCATTCACTTGACCTCATCTCGGCAAAACGGAGAGCCAACGAGATACACCCTCCGTGTATCTGGCGACCCGATGGCTAGTTCTCGTGGACTGGCAGGTGTAGGCATAGCACTTAGCATGAGGGCGGAACAAGCGCTATTAGAGTGGATCCCCGTTAACAGTCGTCTATGCGCTGTTCGGCTGAACGGCTCCGTAAGAACTCGGAACGATAGGAACACACGTCGTTGCCTTTTCGTCGTTTCTTCCTACGCTCCCACTGACTGCAGCTCGGATGAAGTGAAAGATGACTTTTACAGAAAAATCCCTGAACTTCTTCAGAAAGCTAAACGTTCAGACATAGTACTCGTAGCAGGTGACTTTAATGCCCAGGTATGTAGCTTAAACGGAACAGAAAAACATTTAGGTGGGTATTTTAGTATTCCGGCACAGCGAACAGATAATGGTGATCGTCTGCTGCAACTTTGCTCAGACAATCGTTTATTTTTAGCAAACACAAATTTTAAGCATAAGGAGAGACATCGTCTAAGATGGCGACCCCCTGCGCCAAACCAACGATGGACTCAAATAGACCATATTGCCATCAGTCATCGTTGGAGAAGGTCAATAGAAGATTGTCGCTCATTCTGGAGTACCTGCTTGGACTCCGACCATGCCCTAGTACGAGCACGCATCTGCTTGCGCCTCACTGGGCGCAAAAAAGCCACACAAAAAAGACTCATTAGAACCGAATTGAGTAATGAGAAAGCCAAAAGTAGGTTCCAGGAACAACTGAGGTCACGCTTAGGTAGTTCTGAAAACGAGGCTGACCCCGATGTTGATTGGAAAGACATACAAGCAGCTGTGGAAACAGCAGTGACATCTACTAGTGATTTAAACCACAGGGTTACAAAGAACCAATGGATTTCTTCAAGGTCTATTGCACTGATAGATTCTCGTAAACTAATCCCATCAGGTTCTGAACACGATGAAGAGCGTAAAGAAATCAAATCTAGATTAAGCAAAAGTCTAAAGAATGATCGTGAGCAGTGGTGGGCAACGAAAGCAAAAGAGATGGAAAAGGCGGCGGCTATAGGGAACACAAGACAACTCTACAGACTAATAAAAGAAACTGGAATTAACAAATCAAGTGTAAGTCAGACCATTTCGGAAAAAGACGACACTCTCATCTGCTCCCAGTCCAGACGCTTAGAACGATGGGCGGAACACTTTAAATAGCAGTTTAGCTGGCCTTCAGCTACTCTACAACTACCCTCTATTCCCAGACAGTGTGAATGGAACATTGAAGTAGGTCCCCCAACTCGAACTGAAGTTCAAAAGGCTATAGCTAATCTGAAACGAGGAAGGGCAGCTGGTCCAGATGGATTGGTTCCAGAGGTCTTTAAGGATGGTGGTCTAGTTTTAGCGATTAGGTTGACTAATATTTTAGCTAAAATCTGGGAGTTAGACGTTATTCCATCTAACTGCTCACAATCACTTATCGTCCCAATATTTAAGAAAGGGTCAAAATCATTCTGTGACAACCACAGAGGGATTAGTTTGACTAATATAGTATCTAAAATACTAGCTTCGATAATTTTCGGACGCCTAAATAAGACTCGTGAGCTGCAAACACGTGAAAATCAGGCTGGCTTCAGACCTGGTCGTGACTGCATCGACCACATATTCACCATTCGTCAGGTTCTAGAACACAGACATGCTTATCGGCGTCCGACAATAGTGGTCTTCTTTGATTTAAAAGCAGCATTTGACTCTGTTGACCGAGAGGTTCTGTGGCAGTGTCTGTCATTGAAAGGCGTACCTCAGAAGTACATAACCTTGTGAGGGCTCTTTACTCGAACACTACTAGTCGGGTCAGAGCCTATGGCGAAATGTCATCCGCTTTTTCAACCTCAAGTGGGGTCCGTCAAGACTGGCCACTTTCTCCTTTTTTGTTTAACTTTATCATAGACATCCTGATGGAAATAACGCTCTCATCGACTGACTTCTCGGGTATTGATCTCCTACCAGGAGGTCCACTTATTGACTTAGAATACGCAGATGACATAGTCCTGTTTGGTGAAGACGCTGATGAAATGCAGAGTCTTTTGGTAGCACTGAGCAACAATGCTAGAATGTTTGGGATGCGCTTTTCTCCCTCTAAATGCAAGTTGTTGCTTGAGGACTGGTCTGCATCAACACCTGAACTAAGGATAGGGGGTGAAGTAGTCGAACGCGTTGACAACTTCACTTATCTTGGAAGTCTGATCAGCCCTAATGGGTTGGTGTCTGACGAAATCTCAGCACGGATTCGAAAAGCTTGCTTGGCCTTTGCCAACTTACGTCATCCATGGCGAAGGCAAGATATCCGTCTATCAACTAAGGGACGAGTATACTGCGCGGCAGTTCGTTCCGTTCTACTATACGGCTGTGAAACTTGGCCTTTAAGAGTAGAAGATATTCGTAAGTTACTAGTATTTGACCACAGTGCCTTAGAAATATTGCTGGTATCTGCTGGGATCACCGGGTAAGTAATAGTGAGGTTAGACACAGGGTATTGGGGAATGATGGGAAATCAGTTGATGAAGTTATGAACCTTCATCGACTGAGATGGTTGGGCCACGTGCTGCGTATGCCTGAACACCGACTACCACGACGCGCAATGCTAACCGGTGTTAGGGATGACTGGAAGAAAGTTAGGGGCGGCCAAACCAAAACGTGGCATCAGTGCTTGAAGTCACTAACTTCCGGTCTGAGCCATGTTGGGAGATTCAGACTGCCTGGTTGGGGTCCGCGTGACTATCTTAACCAATGGTTGGAGACTCTTGGTGACATGGCTCAGAATCGATCACAATGGCGTCGGTGTAAACACTCTCTGTTTTCCTTTAAACTAAGAGATTAAAATCACTTCAAATCTTTCTTTCTACGAACTAATTCTATCTTCCTGTACTATCTCCTTATACACACTCTTTCTTCTATATATTACCACCACTGAAGTAACTACTTTTATGAATCCCGTGTTCATCTTGATGTGCTAATGCGGTATGGCAACTTGGACCGATGCATATACGTGCCTGGTCCTACGTTGCAGCTGACTGACTGACTGAGTGTGATGCAGTTAACAATATGAAATTTCTAATTATTACATAAAACTACGAGAATATTCTTGTACTTATGCACTAACAATCAACCAACAAAGGGAAAAATGCGTTGAAAAACAAAGGGGAAACGCGCCAAAATATATGCTTTTTCGACTATCCGTGAGAAATAATGTGGATTCCCCCTTTTTTGTCGCTTATTGTGACAAATTCCGTATAATCGAAAATATTAAAATGATTATACATTTCAAAATACACTTGTCGATCACCACCGAAATTCATATTTTCTTGCAACACTAGGCTTACCTTTACTTCATATACTGCGCGAGATCTCATAGGCATTACGATGTGCTCAAGGTGAAGTCTTAGATAGTTTTATTTCCCCGCCAATTATCTTGGTAACCAATTTAACCCGTGCACTAATGGAGACGTGTTTCATTCTCGGAATTACTTGTAAGTTAATTTCAATGCCGTTTTCTGCTCTGTGTTTTGGTAGTGCTTAAAATTACTCATATTTGTAATATGTTATTTCATGTGAGCTGGATTAATTTCTTCATCATTTTTCATCCAAATTGTTCTGGACGGAATAAAAGAAGCTTTCGCTTCACGGGTTCACATATTTAATGATAATACGGTCACCAATGCCTCCACATTGACACTTGTGTATATTTAACAATAAAAGATAAAGAAATAATAAAATATTCTGTGATGCTGTCTTTAGTCCTTGAGAACATGTTACGTTGAAGATGCCACAGGTATTCGGAGTTTGACAACGCTTTAACCAGTAACACCTTCTAATACGAAGCGCACCCACCAAGTAAAATCAAAAGACAGAAGCGAGGAGATCGAAGATATATTTGATAAGCTATCAATATATCGAGGATCGTTTGCACTAATCTGGCTAGCGATTGCGGCAGATGTTGAGCACTGTGTTCCCACACGTGATCTGGTGCGGATGCTTGACCGGGCGCCTTCAGCTAGATGAGTCCACTAAAACTGTGGTGAGCATCCAATGTCGAAAACTTACAGAGCTATTTGATTTTGGGGAATTATTTACCGCTTCAATGTCTTCGCCTGAATAACTCCTGGAAAGTCGTTCGAACTAGCTTGTCCAGAAGGAAATTCCGATATCTGACTACTCTCAAGGGGCGTAAGGTGCGTCCACAGTCAGTTAAGCTTTGCTGTGTCGCCAGTTCCTCAGTCTTACCCAAAAACTTCGTATTGTGACTGCAGGTACTTACAGGATGTTTAAATGTGTTTAGGATACTTAAAGTTCCAGTGTATTTTAATTCTTTTGGAGTTAAATACTATATTTCCATACTCCAAATGAGGAAGAATGAAAAAGACTAAGATTAAGTTGATAGTACCACTGTTGAGCTGGCCAACAATGCGATTTACTTCTACTAGTGCATTCTTTGCTCGAAAGGCATTATTGTCGCAGTTGGCGGAAGACTCCATATTATAAGGTATCAACGCTCCTAGATATTTTCAACTTGAGACACCTCTGAAGAGGAGGCGTTTAGCTTGTATTCGTAGTCCCAAACATGTCTCAGATGAACTATTTTGTATTTTGAAGTGTTAAAGATAGGTCCGTTGTTGTTTCCCTAAGTGTGAAGTCGAGTCAGATCCTCTTGAAGTGCGAACTGCCCATCTTAGTTGCAAATGTCTCATCAAAGTTTCATGTCATCAGTGAAAAGTGCTATATCAGACGAGACCTGCCTATGAAGGTGGTCTATATAAATTAAGAAGGAAATAAGTCATTGTTTTGAACTCTGAGGGACCTCAATTAATGGTGACTTAATATATACTCGACTGAGCTCGTTAATAAGAAATATGTGGTTGATCTACTGAATGCTTATGAGTAGTTAAGGTGTGACATCAATTTTCTCTTTGAGATTAAGGATGGTTGTCCATCTGTTCACTGCGGTCAGTAGGTTGGTTATACATCAATAACCCTTCCTGGAACCGCGTTGTTTGGGCGGGAAGTGGTTTGTTGATACTGAGTAATCACGTAGACTGTAAACGTTTCTAGAGAATTGAGAGAAGTGCCAAGCTTGGTAGCCTGAAGGTCTGTAGCACTGGCGTTCTTTTAAAATCGGTGCAACGTGAGCAGGCTTCCAATTTTTCGGTACCGTGCCTTGGATTAGCGAACGTGTGAACATGGCGTTAAACACTTTAGACAAGATTAAAATCGCTTCACTCACTGTGGCAGAATGAAATATATGCGTGCAGGAGAAGTATCCTTGTTTATATGCTGCAGTTTCATATACATCAAGGCATCTCTCTGGTTCACTTCTGAGAGTCCTATTGAGTTGTAGGTGAAGATCTCTTTGATGTATGCATTATGAGATGGTTGGGATCTCTGCAAGTACTGTTCTATCAGAAGTTCAGTGGCGTCACCATCCTAAACGGTTGAGCTATTAAGACCTGGTAATTGGGTATTTCTTGTTTTGGATCGTTGAAGAGAGGCAGCATGACGGAATAAGCTTTCTGGATTGAATTTTTCTTCACCTATTGCCTTCGTAGATTGGCTCCTTGATCGTTTGAACTGACTGTATGTGCTGTTATTGTAGAATCATGATCTAGTACGATATTGGTACTGCTCAAATAATCGACTCATCCTAAAATGGTAGATTTGTCATGATATAACTGCCTAATATATAAGATCTGGCGTGGAACTCACATCATTGTATATACCAACCGATCGTATGGTAACAATTACCAATATATGACGGAGAACAAGATTGGGTTAAAGATAGAACAATATATTTAATATAAATAAAAGATCATATTACAACACTTAAGAGTGACCACGCCTGCAAGCTCGAGCCATGCCGTCCGATCAAGTGGAACTCGTATTGCTCAACAAGATGAAAATGAATGTATGTTGGCCCAATATTATATGTATTTAACGTACATCAAGATAAGTGGGATCAAAAACCTGTGGATGAACTTGTTTTTCTGAGTCCAGAAGTTGAATATATTTGGGTAGATGTTTTTCTTATTCTTTTTTATTTATCAACGCTAGATAGATCTGTATTAAAAAGATGGATTTAGCCAAACTTTCATCCATTTATCAACCATCACTTTCAATGATGTCTGAAGCACGGACTAACATTAATATTTCCGGCCTAAGTATATTTCTTGATAACTGTTTCCTATATTGAAGTGATAAGTTGAATAGACAATTTGAAGAATGTCTTATCTACGCTTACTCTAGTTTAAACTCACTATTCTGTTATATGCCTGCACTAAAAAAACTGCAGAACTCAGTTTGGATTGTGTTAAAGCCTCCAAGTTCCTTTTTCTTACTGTTCGGCTGTGTCTACCGTCGACCTAACACGTCAGTAGGTGAGATGCCAATATTGTCAAAAGTGTTCACACTAGCATCATTCCTTTGACTCATAGGTTAACTTAATGACTCTTTAATTACGATAACTGAAATATATATCCAGGCAGAGGCAATACGTACACGAAAAACAGCCGCGCAGGAAAAAACGCGTTATGGAACTTAATAATATCTCCTCCGCACTTATGAAACTCCTTCAAAATAATCTTAAACGTACTAAATCGAAATGATGAAACTCATTTATTGAGGAAAAACAAGTATACAAAGATTTTAAACTGTTATGGAATTCATATGGGAACACGTTTGATCCTCGTTAACTGATGAAATTCATTAAACGAATCATAACGAATTTTAATGCCTTCCTCTGAAATTACTGCTGTAGACTTCAGTGTATATAGACTTCAATGAATGTAAGGCCATTAGCACACTGAAACACTCCTACACAGATGGACCAGATGGTATTACGGTCGACATGCTAAAAGTGGGGATGATGATATGTGTTTTACTTTTCAAACTTTTTTCGATATCACTCTTTACAGCGTGTTACCCTACTGCCTGAAAAACTGCCCTCATCATTCACAAAGTTAAAACAGGCCCCAAAGCAATTGTTGAAAATTACCAGCCCATAAACGAAACCTTAGTGGTATCTAGATTGATGGAAAAAGTAGTTAGGGAGGCGATAGTTCGACAGCTTACTAGTAACCTCATCCCGACCTCCTAGCAAAGGTTTCTTATGTCCAGATCATGCAATACATGTCTAGTAGTCTACCTGAATGATATAACTTTGAAACAGAACAACGGACTCCTTGTATCAGTTTTATTCTTAAACTTTAAGAAAGTCTTTGATAAGGTCCCACACAAAAGGCTACTCGTCAAACTAAAGTACTTTGGAATAAACAACCCACTGTACTCATGGTTGGCTTCCTACTTAACAGATAGTAAACAAATAGTAAAGTACAGTGACTGTGTCTCATCACCTAAACCGGTAACTAACCGAGTCATCCACTCTTGTTTCTTATTTATATAGACGACATATGTAACACTGTAAAAATGGAGAGACCATACTTACACTGCGATGATCTCAGAATAGTTTGCAACTTTAAGCCAGAAGCGCTAAGCTAAATTATATCTCAGATACAAAGTGACCTCATTAACTGAACTATCTGGATCGATAAATAGCAATTATCTTTTAACTTCAACAGGTGTAGGATCATGCATATTTGAAAAATATCCATATGGTTCTACATAAAGCCAGAACAAATATTGATGCAGAATGATATGAATTCATTATATTTGTATTACATTGAATCGGTAAATGCAACTGGAGCTACTGAGAAAAGGGGACTTGTCGATTTTAGTTTGTTTGAGTGAGCTGTTCGTTTCGCACACCGTCGTCAGTTTTGCTGCTGGGTAGGTAACTTTCAAAGTGGAATTTATTCTGTGAATAATTATACCAGCAATTTCATCTATAAAGAGTTAATATAGGAAGAAAGTTTTTTTCCCATTCTATAACATCACAATTGTTCTGGCTTTATTTAAATTCAAAAAGGGAACAAATTGCATGAAATTCACATGACTTACAACTTTACTTTTAAAAAAGGCTGTTACTTTGCTTCATGGTGACAATTTTATTCACAGTAGAGGCCAAGCCTATTTCTTACGAAATATGTATACGACATTACATTGAATTTTGCTCAATGTTTTGTTTTCTTACTCCGAAAACTTTTGAATTCTAAACTCTTGTATATTCTTTTATTTGCTATCTATCCTGACCATCTCTAAACCACATATAATCTGACCTGTTTTTTTATAACTCGTACCATAAGTTTTACATAAAAATTAGGAAATACCTCAATTAATTCCCATCCACTACTTGATCGTCGCAACACTGCTCTAAATGCACGCCAAAATTTGCTTTGAATATTCAAGTTTTGTTGATGTTGTGACGAACCTGTGACGAATAGGCTATTAGAGTTAACCTAGTCATTAACCTGTATTTTTAAGGATATCCCTAATTCAAAAAGCTATACAATTT